ACTACTACTACTACTACTACTACTACTACTACTACTACTACTAACAGTAACACTACTACTATTACTACTACTACTACTACTACTACTACTACTACTACTACTACTACTACCACTACTACTACTACTACTACTTCCACTACTACTACTACTACCACTACTACCACTACCACTACCACTACCACTACCACTACCACTACTACTACTACTACTACTACTACTACTACTACTACTACTACTACTACTACTACTACTACCAGGGAAGCTGTCAGGAGGGAGGATCAAGCCAATTCCGCTCGAATCGACCCCCACGTCCCCTCCTGGAGTGGCGGCCCCGGGGCCCGGAAATGCCACGCGGGGGCCGAAAGAGGCAAGCAAAAACTCCCTCTCTGCTTGATTCGTGGGCGAAGCGAAACACATGTCTGCATCCACGGCCTCGCGGGCCGGGGCCGGGGGCCGCGACCCCGCGGATACGCAGCGTTTCGCCGCGGTTGCCCCGCGCTGAACGTATCCGTGCGGCCGTGTATTTGCACGGTCGCGCCCCGGAGTCCAGACTGGGAGGGCGCGGATACGGGCATGCTCGCCGCTCGTGCTGGCTGGAACCAACGCTGGGCCACCTCATAAACCCAGCCGCCTCCAGGACAGGCTGGCGCCCCGCCTGGCGCAGAGGAGCCGCCTGCTGCTGCCAGTGCAGCTTCTGCAGCCACGCCTCCCGGGGGCGCTGGCTCAGCGCCCCTCCAACGGGAGCTCCACTAACTGGTTCTTTGGCCAGTGGCCCAGCGAACCCAATCCTCCCCGATGTGGGCAACGCTGCAATGCCAGAAAATTGTCCCCGGCGACGTACCCAACCCTTGCGCAATGCGGGGCATAAGTACGTCAGGATTGCTACAACGGGGGCGACGACCTAACATGGACGCATGTGATTTTGCGAGCAGCAATCGGAAGGCTCGCAGGCCCCCCATCAAGATACAAGGGCTACGTATAACAAATCACCCCCGTTGGCTGTGCCATGCGCCCGTTGCACCCAACGTATCCCACAGCAACTCTTGAGAGCCCCAGAGAGATACGTGTAGGCGCAACGTTATTGCCATCGCCAGGCAGATGGTCTGTTTCACAAATCACCCCCGTTGGCTGTGCCATGCGCCCGTTGCGACTAACGTATCCCACAGCATCTCTCCAGAGCCCCCCAGGGACGGCGAGGTGTCGCTCTGGTCCCCGCGGTGCCTCACTCCGCTGGACCCACCAGCAGCCCTCGAAAGTGGCGACAATGTCGCAGATCGCAGCCCCCCCAGGGACGGCGAGGTCTCGCTCTGGTCCCCGCGGTGCCTCACTCCGCTGGACCCAACAGCAGCCCTCGAAAGAGGCGACAATGTCGCAGATCGCAGCCCCCAGGGACGGCGAGGTCTCGCTCAGGTCCCCGCGGTGCCTCGCTCCGCTGGACCCACCAGCAGCCCTCGAGAGTGGCGACAGTGTGGCGACAATGTCGCAGATCGCAGCCCCCCAGGGACGGCGAGGTCTCGCTCTGGTCCCCGCGGTGCCTCACTCCGCAGGACCCACCAGCAGCCCTCGAAAGAGGCGACAATGTCGCAGATCGTATCCTCCCCCAGGGACGGCGAGATCTCGCTCTGGTCCCCGCGGTGCTTCAATCCAAAGGACCCACCAGCAGCCCTCGGAAATGGCGACAGTGTCGCAGATCGCAGCCCCCCCAGAGACGGGGAGGTCTCGCTCTGGTCCCTGCGGTGCCTCACTCCGCAGGACCCACCAGCAGCCCTCGAAAGTGGCGAAAATGTCGCAGATCGCAGCCCCCCCCCAGGGACGGCGAGGTCTTGCTCAGGTCCCCGCGGTGCCTCACTCCGCTGGACCCACCAGCAGCCCTCGAAAGCGGCGTCAGTGTCGCAGATCGCAGCCCCCAGGGACGGCGAGGTCTCGCTCAGGTCCCCGCGGTGCCTCGCTCCGCTGGACCCACCAGCAGCCCTCGAGAGTGGCGACAGTGTCGCAGATCGTATCCTCCCCCAGGGACGGCGAGGTCTCGCTCTGGTCCCCGCGGTGCCTCTCTCCGCAGGACCCACCAGCAGCCCTCGAAAGTGGCGACAGTGTCGCAGATCGCAGCCCCCGGGGACGGCGAGGTCTCGCTCAGGTCCCTGCGGTGCCTCACTCCGCAGGACCCACCAGCAGCCCTCGAAAGTGGCGACAGTGTCGCAGATCGCAGACCCTTGGCAAAATGCACACACAAGAGGTACCACAGCCAGGATACACATACACACACGAGGTATGTGCAAGGCAAGAAGAGACAAGACGGAATCGAGAGACGGGGGGCGGGAGGAGGAGGAGGAGGAGGAGGAGGAGGAAGAGGACTGAAGACCGCTGTGCTCTATTCAAAACGAATACACAGAGAAGGCGGGTTGGGGGACAAAAAAACTGGGCGCCAGGTCGCCCCGATCGGGCGAGGCTCTCGGCCGCAGAGCGGCGCGTTGCGTCTCACTCTCTCTCTCTCTCTTTCTCTCTCTCTCTCTCTCTCTCTCCCTCTCTCTCTCTCTCACGTCCTCATAGCCAATCTCAATCCACATCAGGCGGGTAGGGAAGGTTGGGGAAAGTGGGCTACACGGCCTGCGGCCTCCCCCTCTGTGTGTGTGTGTCTGTGCGTGCGTGCGCGCGCGATTGTGCCTGTCGTTCCCGCACCCATCCATTTCTCAACGCGATGGCCAATCACATAATCCCTACCATCACTCACAGCATGATTCGCAGTGATGCTCGTACTCGTACGAGTGTTGCGTCTCGCTCCTCATTAGAGTCCTTCGTACATTTCTTTACCTTGTACAGCACTCCTCCATGTCGCACCCCGAGGCCAATCGAAAAGGCGGGCCGGGCGTTTCGCCTGAGACTTTCTCAACGTGTGTTATGATCCTGGAGCTCAGAATGTATAAGAGTTTCACGTATGAAGGGTGGGTCGTTCTTAAAATGTGGCGCTCGCACTAGCGCGCATTCGTCTTTCAAAATGACAAGGGCTTCACAGATGGAGGACGGTTCCTTTTAAACCTGTGCCTCCCGCCTTCACACCGCGCACATTCTTCGCACTAGCTTACAAGCCCATTCAAATACTCTTATATGTAACGCCGCAAGATTTGCGTGCGTCTCGGCACGATGTCCGACTGTCAGGGCGCAGCAGTCAAGTGGACTCGTGGTGTTGAAGTTCCAGGAACGGTGTCTTGGCACGATTCAGAATTGTGAAAACGCAACATTGATTCACGGCGCTGAAACCCCAGAAATGGTGTCCGGGCACAACTCTGGATTTGCAAACGGTTGTTTCTCAACGGGGCACATCCTTCAGTGAACATGATCCCTCGTAGGGGCTTGTGACGAGGGACGTTGTAAGGTCTTTTGCGATATCGTTGATGACTATTGGGTTTACATTGGTGTTCCTCCTCCTCCTCCTCCTCTTCATCCTCCTTTTCCTCCTCGTGCCTCATCCTCATGCTCCAGCCTCCTGCCCCGTCCACCTACTGCCTCCGTCTGCTCGCAACCTCGTGATGTGCCCTCCCCGCTCCCCCATCCCAGTAATCCTCCTCCGCAACGCCCTGCTCGTTCCTCCCTTCCTCCTCCTCCTCCGCCTCCGCCTCCAACTCCGCCTCCTCCTCCTCCTCCTCCTCCTCCTCCTCCTCCTCTTCTTCCTCCTCCTCCTCCTCCTCCTCCTCCTCCTCCCCCCCCTTCTCCCCCTCCCCCTCCTCCTCCTCTTCCTCCTCCTCCTCCTTCGAAGGCGGCGAAGCGGCGGCAGAATGAGAGTGAGAACTGGGTCTGTCGTTTCTGCGTCCACGCTGTCACGAAGAAGCCCTGGTTCAACAAAGCAGGGGTCATGTACTGTCGCCAGTGCAGCCTGCACAAGTCCGTGTGCTTCAAAGAGAATCTCAAGCAGTCGGAGTCTCCAAGCACTTCTACTCGGTCTGCCACGCTCGAGGCCAAGTGTGCGGAGCTTCAAGAGCAAGTCAGACAGCTTCAAGCAGCAAGGCGTTCTTCTCCTGATTCAGGTACTGGGAACCCTCCTCCTTGGGCTGCTGATGCTAAGCAGTGTGACAAGCGCAGCAGGATCAAGTACCTGGAAGGTCTCATCAAGCAAGTGGCGAGTGGAGGCTTTTCCCAGGACGAGGAGCTGCTCAGACGGTACCGAGAAGAGAAGTCTGCCCTCGAGACGGCCTTGTTTGCTGACAGACCTGTTGAGGAGCAGGCTCGCAGTTTGGCAAACCGGCTTCAAAGTGCTCGGCATAAGGAAACGCAGCTGCAGAAGGCCCGCGATGAGCAGCAGAGCAAGATCAGCGAGCTCCAGAAGGTCTTGGAGAGCCTCGACACGCGTTTGGTTGAGGCCAAGGAGGAGGTCCTGCGGCTTGAATGTGAGACGAGGGCAACCATGTCCAAGGCTCAGCCACCCGACGGCAGTGGGGAAGGGCCTCCTTCGTTGCGGCAAATGCTCCCCACGCTCTCTGTGTCGGTCGAGCAGCTGGGGGTGGTCGCTTCTGGGCTGGGGGTTCCTCCAGACCTCTTGGAAGAGCTGCAGGCGATGGCGGCCACGATCAAGAAGCTCGCCGAACTCCCTGCAGCGCAGCCACCCACCCCAGAGCCACAACAGCAACCGCAGACGCCCGAGGAGCCCGAGGAGGACCCCGAGGAGGACCCTGCGCCACATGTTGAGTCCATGGACGTGGATGATCTGCGGGCTACTCTGGATGCAGCAGGGATACCTGCGCAACCCTCGGATGACGCCGAGGTGCTGCGTGGCAAGATCAGGAAGATGCAGACGAGCTACCTCTCCATGTGCAAGCGGCAAAAGCCGTCGGCCGAGTAGGTTCTCGCTTGTGTTCAATGTGCTCAGTGTGATGGTTGGAAGTGTTAGTGGAATGATGGTTGTTTCGGAAAGTGCAGGACCTTCCCCGCGAATGGAAGGAATATTGGGCTCGAGTGGCGACCGCTGTGTACTCGGAAGCGCTGGACCTGTGGTTGGGATGACTGGCACTGGCGATTGCGTGGAGGAGGCCAGCGGGAGCCCTTTCTCATTGAGTCGATGTGCTACTTCAGATGATGTTTCTAATTTTGCAGGGTTGGGACCTGCTTCTGTCCCATTGGCTTATGTGAATGCTGGTATGTGGAGTACAAGGGCTTCCACCAGTCTTTTGTCTGCCCCTGGTAGTGGGCCAGGTGCTGGGGCTTCGGCGTCGGCCTCCTGTTCAGGGACAGCGTTGAGTTCGGCGACTCGGCAGTTCTCTGCATTGGGAGCAGTTCTGGGTCCTGCCATCGTCCCTTCGCTAATGGAGGGCGACCGCTGTGCTCTCGGAAGCGCTGGACCTGTTGTCGGGCCGACTGGCGCAGGTGATTGCGTGAATGAGGCCAGTGGAAGCCCTCCCTCAGGGAAGGCTTTTATTCGGAGTACTACGGCTTCCACCAGTCTCTTGTCTGCCCCTGGTAGTGGGCCAGGTTTTGGGGCTTCGGCGTCGGCTTCATTTACCAGGACAGCGGCGAGTTCGGCGACTCGGCATTTCTCTGCATCTGGTGCTTTTCTGGAATCTACCTTCGTCCCTTCGCTTATGGAGGGCGGCCGCTGTGTTCTCGGAAGCGCTGGACCTGTTGTCGGGCTGACTGGCGCAGGTGATTGCGTGAATGAGGCCAGTGGAAGCCCTCCCCCAGGGAAGGCTAGTATGCGGGGAACTATGGCTACCACCAGTC